GCCTGCTGTCGCTGTGGTTAGTAAGAAATGATTGTCTGATAAACTGAAGCATTTATTGACATTTCAGAAGGAATAACTCAAAAATACAATAATAAAGAAATGGAACAGCTGACTTAATATCTAATCCCTTGGCGATTATATTGGCATTTATATATATATACATATACCCTGTAAATTCACAAATTATTGTGATGTTTTTATTATTGCGAATATTGCAACGTGTTATGAGTCGCAATAATTTGAACTTGCATTTTGAAATCAAATCCACTGTATATGTATCAAGTCATTCATGCAGAAAATGTAGGTGAAGATTACCTAATTATGGTACTGATATTGTTGGTTACCCATGATGTGTAGACTGACAAATTATCATGCCACTATAAGTTATAGTTGCTGAGATATGGACCTCCACCATAAATTTATGCAAAGTCACTCATGCGGAAAAATGTAGGTCAAGATGACCTAATTCTGGTACAGGCGTTTGTGGTTACCCATGATGTATCCACTGACAAATTATCATGCCACTATAAGTTATAGTTGCTGAGATATGGACCTCCACCATAAATTTATGCAAAGTCACTCATGCGGAAAAATGTAGTTCAAGATGACCTAATTCTGGTACAGGCGTTTGTGGTTACCCATGATGTATCCACTGACTAACTATCATGCCACTATAAGTTATAGTTGCTGAAATATGAACCTCCATTATCAATTTAACCAAAGTCATTCATGCAGAAAAATGTAGGTCAAAATGACCTAATTCTGGTACTGATGTTGTTGGTTACTTATAACCTGTACAATGACAAATCATCATGCCATTATAAGTTATAGATGCTGAGATATGGACCTCCACCAAAAATTTAACCAAAGTCACTCATGCAGAAAAATGTAGGTCAAGATGACCTAATTCTGGTACTGACGTTTGTGGTTACCCATGATGTATCCACTGACTAATTATCATATCCCTATAACTTATAGTTGCTGGAATATAGGTCTTCACCATAAATTATCATGAAAAAACTAAGTCCAACTTAAGGAAAAAATACGGAAAAATTTGAATTTTTTTTTTCAAAATCATACTTGGGATATAAATTTTTATCCATACTGAATATTGTGTCCAAATTTCAAGAAGACTGAATAAAATTTGAGAAAGTTATTGCAGTTTATAAAACTTTGACATTTGGGTTAACCAAAAGTTGGACGCCGACGACGACGACGACGACGACGGAATCTATGGTCGCTATGTCTCGCTTCGCGACATTCGTCGCAGGCGAGACAAAAACTAGCTAACATAGCAGTCACATAGAATCGAATTTGAAAAGGGGGGGGGGGGTTACACGAACTTGAAAAGTATTTGACAAGCAAAAAACACAAAAAGGAGACAATTGTTTGATTCGGGAGGGGAGATAAAACACAAAAAAACAATTGTTTGATTCGGGAGGGGGGTAAGTTCCAACTCCCATCTTTCAGTACTATTTTTTTTACACTAACTTACAACATTTATTATATTTACAAAAAGGGTGAGAATGTGAACTTGAACGAACATTTCCGTAGTAAAAAGGTTATGATTGGGCGGGGGGGGGGGGATATTTGATATCTAAATGAACCATGGAAAGAGAAAACAAATGTTTAAAAAATATTAAGATTACGTTGAGGGCAAACTTTTACGGCAAGCTCGAATAAACATCTCTTATACACACTGGTTGTTAAAATTTTATTCAAAATAGAGTCCTTTTCTGGATAGACAAAGTTGTGGTAGATATAATGCAGAATGCAGAATCTTTGCATTTATTGAAGTTAAATTTTGTTTGTTTGCGGCACATATGTGTGCATGTTTGGGGGGGGGGCGTATATGAACGACCCCGTAAAAATGAGTTTGTTTTCCCGCTCATCGGAAAGGTCTTAGAAGTTGTAATAGATCTGCCCCCCCCCTTTTGTGTCCAAACTGTACACAAGGTTTAATAAATCAATTTTTAATGTGGCTGTGGGCCCCAACACAGACCCGAAACTGCCACCCCCCTTTCATGACTCGCGAATTCGACACTGCGTGCATAATCTGAATAGCGTAACTAGTTATACCCCCGCTCCGAAGGAGAGTGGGGTATACTGTTTTACCCTTGTTTGTCTGTCTGTCTGCGTGTCCGTGTGTCTGTCCGTAACGAATTTTCGTCACAGTTTTCTCAGCAACTACTTACTGTAGATGCTTGAAATTTTAACACAATCTTCTCTTAGTTATTCTATACCGTAGGATACATTTTTGGTTAAATTCGATCTCAACTTCCTGTTAATCTGTGTGTCTGTCCGTTTCATACATAACAATTTTTCGTTGCAGTTATCTCAGCAACTACTCATCACAGATGCATGAAATTTAAACACAATCTTCTCTGAGGCATGCCATAAGTTGGGATACATTTTTGTTCAAATCCAACTTCCTGTTTGTTTGTGCGTCTGTCTGTTTCATACATAACAAATTTTTGTCGCAGTTTTCTCAGCAACTACTCATCGCAGATGCTTGAAATTTTAAAACAATCTTCTCCGAGACATGCCATACGGTGGGATACATTTTTGTTTAAATCCAATGTCAACTTCCTGTTTGTCTGTGCGTCTGTCTGTTTCATATATAACAAATTTTCGTCGCAGTTTCTCAGCAACTACTCATCGCAGATGCTTGAAATTTTATTACAATCTTCCCTAAGGCATGCCATACTGTGGGATACATTTTTGTTTAAATCCAATGTCAACTTCCTGTTTGTCTGTGTCTGCCCGTTTCATACATAAAAACTTTTCGTCGCAGTTTTCTCATTAACTATTCATAGCAGATGCTTAATTTTAGTACACTCTTTGTTGAAGCATGTCATATGGAGGGATTAATTTTGATATGAATCTGATGTCAACTTCAAATTTATCTGTCTATCTGCCTGTAATTGAACTTGTGTATATTAACATGATAGTGTTTATTTACATCAGAGCGGGGGTGTTACTAGTGAGCATTGGCTCACAGATTTCTTGTTATTTTTGTCTTTTCAGACATTGACATTGGAAACAAATTGAAAGAGGGGGTGGGGCCGTGGGGCTCCGAAAAAAAATTTCCAACATACAACAAATTTGATAAGCAAAAAAAAATGGGGATATGTCCTCTGCCCAAACACGAAAATCCTATAATTTCGTGTGTGTGGGGGGGATTTCTTTCAGTAGCATTTTTTCCACGGAGGGTGTGTATGACTCATGAATAATAGTTTACAATAAATTTTTATTAGAAATGACTTTAACAACAAGAATATTGCTCTTTCATCTGATTTATATTGAAACTATGTTATTTGTTTGACAAAAAAAATTCCGTTTTCCGTTCCGTTCCGTTTTCCGTTCCGCGTTTTAGAAACACCCACTTCCGGTTATGGTATGAAAATCGTTCAACCGTTAAAATACCGATGTTTACCAAATTGAAGATATCCTTAATTTTAAGATACAAAATTCTTTACTTTACATAATTATTTCCCCCTAAAGTAGGGTGTTGCGTTTCTTTTGCGTGTCATATATAAATGCACTTACTATTTAGATGTTAGGGTCAAGGTTAATGGATTTCAAAAGGAGGTCAAGCTCCAAAGTCAAAAGGTCAGATTTGTTTGAATCTAAAGGATGGACTTGCCACAAGGAATACCTTAAAGTTTGAATTTTAAAAACTATCTTTTTAAACTACCTGTTCAAAAGTTATGTCCAAGCCTTAATGGAGGTTAGTTTTAAAATTGGGTCAAACTTTAATTCAAGGTCAAAAAATAGGACTTGTCGCGATTAATTCAAATGTGAAATACATGAAATCCTTTGTAACCAACTGTTCAAAAGTGGTGGCCAATATTGAAATTGAGTAAATTTTTGCAAAAGTAGGTCAAACAGGTCAAGAGGTCAACGTGCTTGTACCCAAAGGAAGGACTTTTCTCAAGTAATTATACGAAAGCCATAGCCACCAAACAAAAGTTAAGTAGATGAAGTCAAACAGACAGACAGACGAAATGACAAGGCAAAATAAAAGTATATGAGGGGGCATAAAAAGTTAATTTGGCAAAGAGAATTGTTTTCCGTGTCTACGACTATCTGGAACAACCCTCGTACATGTACGTAAAATCGATACACAAGTCAACCAGACCAAACTGAATTAATATCGTGCTCACACTTTTTGAGGAATACTTTTTTTTTTGGCGTTCTTCATATTTGTACTTAATAAGGAAATCTGGAGAAAATACCCCCCCCCTCCCCCCCCGTGGAATCTGCCGAGTAACTAAACGTATATACGAAACCTAGTAAAATTGACCTTGGACCCCCTTAGAAAACGATAATCCCTCCTCAGAAAAATTTGAAGAAAGCTATGTAGCATAATGGTATGAAAAATTATTTGAATCATTTGAAAGCTTGATGTAGTATGCCCCCCAAATATGAAATATGTTTTTCACGTTTGGGAAAGATTCTCGGGTTTTTTCTGCTTGTCAAGAAATTTCTGGGTTGGAAATTATATTTGACTGCGGTGAACCCCCCCCCCCCCCAAGAAAAAAATTCTGGATCCGCGCCTGCTTCATATTTGTACTAAATAAAGAAATCTGGAGAAAATACACCAGTATTCTGCGTTTGACCCTAGAAGTGTGTCAGTGAAAGCAGTCAGTATATGGTGTCTGCAAGGGTTCCTCTAGCTGCAGAACTGCAGAGAGCTACGTACAGTTCTGCAGCTAGGGTTCCTCTGGATTAAAGTGTCAAAAAACATTTAACAAAAAATTATTCAAAAGATAACTTTGTAGAAAAAAAATCCAATAAGATAAACAAACATAAACATGTTTTCCAAAGAAACTGTGTTTTTATTGCAATTTTATTTCGTATTTTGCGGACGAGAGATAAGTATACGATCGAAGTCTAGCTTTCGAATTCTTTTATATACGATCTAAGCTTAATCGACTAATTTTAAGTACAACTTCTCGAATTCCTTTAAATCATTAAAACGTTTTAAAGTGCGAAGTTTCATAATAGTATTAAAAGACGTAGTTTGACTTCGAAGTACTCAGAAAGAAAGAAAAACGATTTTCCCATTTATGAAGAAATCGCCATGAAATAGACCAAAAAATCATTCCTTTACGATGGAAGTTGTGTATACATGCAGTGATGACTCTCACAGCAATGTCAAAGACTGGATTTCAGAGGAGAAGTGTTGCACTTCATTATCAAGCCAAAACGTGCTGGCAGTCAGCAGGCAGAAAACAGCTTCACACAAAAAGAAAAGGTTGTCTCGTAGTAATCCGAGGTTCATTTCACTTAAATCTCTCGGAAAAAGACCAATTTTAAAGAAAATCATGATTGTATCACAGGGGCATCTTATCCACTCTGTTCTCTACTTCACATATAAAAATACTCAAGGGAAGAATCGCATATAGTCTCTCCTATTTTTAACAAAATTGTCAAAAAACAACTTACTTGAGAAAAGTTTAGCAATGACAAATCCTTGAAAGGAACTTGACATTAAATACATGTCACTGCACTTATTGAGGCTAAAAATTCAATTTCGATATATCCATCGCATTGGTCAATAGATTTTATGAACTAAAACCCCAGCTTTCTGCACAGTGTGAAAGGAGAAATGCCCAAGAAAACATAACTCACCCGGATGACAATAGGGTAGTACCCAGTCTCTATCCAATCCAATGGCACTCGGAAGGCCACGGTATACCCTATTGTCATCCGGGTGAGAGATCTTTTCATTTTGCGTAGAGTTTCACACTGTGTAAAAAGCTGGGGTTTTAGTTGGATAAAAAGATTTTCGATGGATATATCCAATATTTTAGCCTGGATAAGTACACACATTATTTGCGCTAGTTCCTTTCAGGATTTGTGTAACTTTTCTCAAGTAAGTTGTTTTTTGACTTTTTTTAAAAATCGTTTGCTACTTTTTTCTATTAAATTTATCCCTTGTGTATTTTTATATGTGAAGTAGAGAACAGAGTGGATAATATGCCCAATGTTTGATATTGAATCTCTTAGCAGCGTTAAAATAGTGTGATTGTAACTGTGTAATCCAGAAGTTAGTGTTAGGCCTAATACGTAAAGTTATTGTCTCAAACCACAGTTCAGAGTCTGCATATAGCTCTCTCCTACCTGTGGCTGCTTGATCACATTAATTGTTGTAATTCAATATTTATGTCTTTATGCTGTGACGTCATGTTCAGCCAAAGACTGTCACAATATTTGTTTTCATTGCAATATATTGAAATCAACATTGACATCATCAAAACACAAAAACATTTTGTGCACTGCAATTGGGTATTGAAAGGTCATGGAAAAAGTTCAATTTCCTACTAAGCTTTATCTGCATTGGTCAATATTTTAATGAGTTATGAAATATTATCTTCTCATTCAGCTGTAGAAGAAAGGAGAAATGCAAGATGAAAACATTTGGCTGAACTGGGAATCGAACCCTGGACCCCTGTATTACTAGTCAGGTGCCTGAACCACTGAGCTATCCAGGCCAATTATCCTAGGTCCATAAAGCCCCAACTCCTACGTTCCTCCCTGTGCCCAGTGCCAGGAATTACTAATTTACACATACACTGTAACCTGAACAAAGCCCCTACACTGGCCACTAAATCTAGTAGGAAAGGAGAAATGAACAAATAAAACATATGGCTGGACTGGGAATCGGACACAGGACCCCTGTATTACTAGTCAGGTGCCTGAACCACTGAGCTATCCAGGCCGATGTACACTGTCCATAAAGCCCAACTTCTACACAACCACAGACAGAATGGGAGAGAAACGTACATTTTGGCCATAGTTTGCGACGATGATGTAAAATAAGAACCTAATTAAATGATCCTTTACAAAGATTTGATCAACCATTACCCAAATGTAGATGCCTATCCAAATTTTCTAGCTACCTACAGTACACATACCTTTTAGTCTGAGAAAAAGCTTAAAGGTAGAGATAAGAAAATGGATACATCCCCTGTTGATGAATCACACATGCCACATAGACTTTATCATAAAAAATGATTTATTTTATAAGCAAAAGATAATCATCATTTATGCTATTCCAGGGGACATGAAACCAGCATGACCTATGAGATTGGTGTGTTTGATCTGGATAAACCGTGGGAGTGGTTCACCGTTACGACTTGTTCAGCCATGGTTACCAATTTACAGTGGGACAAAACTGGGACCAGATTACTAATCACAGATTCCTCTGGTTTATGTCAAGTGTGGCAGATGCAGGTACCATAGGAAATTTTACTAAATAAAAGAAAGGTCAAAGAAGATACATGTGTTGAAATATTTTAAATCAATAAAAAAGAAATAAAAGATTTACATAACTGTTAATTCAAAACAAATACTATATACAGCATAAATTTTGCTTCAGTTTTATTCACGTGTAAGCAGACACTAAAAGTGAAATACATATAGTTTGCAATTGAATTACATAATACTTAAGAAAGACGTCTAAAAGACTTGTCTTCATGTTAAAATTACATTTCCTTGAAGGAGTTTCTTGTGAATAAATGGGAATGTATGGGATCCTCCTCACTTCCTGGAGAGGATATTTTGGCTGTTGCCTGGTTCCACACTGGTGTTCAGGTGGGTAAAATATTAATATCACAGTTTATATTATAAACAAATTATTTTATAATGATAGAAGTGCATGGGCATGCAGGTTTAAAGGAAATGTTTTTAATTAGCCTTCCCAGTGATCCTTATAGATACAATTATATAGATAGTGTCACAGTGATGTATTGTTAGTTCAGTATCCAAACAAGTTATAAACATCATAGTCACTGTGGTCATAAATTGAAATTATGGATGAAACAATGTTATAAATTTTAGTTTCTACTTTTCTCAGGTTTTGTTCAGCCCAGAAAAGAAAGATGCTGCCACTTATGATGACAAGTTCATCAGAGAACGTTATCAGCCATCTGTGTCCCAGTTTGGAGGAAAACCTGTGGATGGATGGATAGTGGTTACAGCCAGTGGTCTGGTATGTATGTCTTTGCTAGTATAACTAGAGGTACTGTGAGCAATGAGCTCACTAAATGATACCCCCTGCCTCCCATATGGTTATAAAGTCCATGTTTTGATGTGGCCGGGAAACCCAAAATATGTGTCAGATCAAAAAGTAAAATAGAAGGTGCACAGTGGCAATATGTAATAAAGATTCTGTGAAAGTTTCATTAAATTTCACTCAGTGGTATAAGAGGAGTTGCGGATAAGAGATGGGTACTTTTTATCCCAAAGCGTAAATCGGACAGACGCGAAGGACGGAGGACAGACATTTCAGCACCATAAAAATAAAAGCAGTATATTTTTTCCCTCCCACTTTTCAAGCAGGGGGTATACTAATCAGTAGGCAAACAATACTTATCCAAGTTAGAGTTATCTCTCTTATTAGAGTTATCTCTCTTATTAGATGATTTTGAAAGCAAAATATATTTATTTAAGCGAATACCATCTTAATATACCATATAGCTGGTTTTCTTGGCGGGTGTAAAATTTGGCATTTTACCTGCTCAAAGGTATGCCATTAATTTTGGCATAATTTATTTTAGCGGACACAGAGTTTCGGCTCTTTGCAGATAAACACTTAGAAAAGAACTTATTATATTAGCGATTAAATTTTTAGCGGGCTACCATCAAAACGTATACGGTATTTCACAGAATATCATAAATTTTATTAATTTATTATCTCTCTTATACTCAATGGCAAATCTTTGAGAAAGAATATATTTTTTCCCCAAAAATGAATTTGAATGGTAGTTCAAAAATTTTCATTTATTTGGTTTTTCAATCTTATTATCTTCCAAGCTTTAATCCAATGCACTATGTTTTTGTTGCATTTTCTTGTGTTTCACAATTTCCATTTACAAAAATCTTTTACATAATCACTCCCATCAGTTTTAAATATTATGCAAATACATATATTTCAGGTGGATTGCTGTGTGATAAACAGACAGGAACCTTTCATTACCTCCTCCCACAAGTCACTGTCTCTCACCCCTCAACGACTCAGTCTGGCCGCCATTGCTTACTCCAACATGGGGGGTATCGTCATCGCCACCAGCGATGGTCAGCTGTCCTCTCTGGTTCAATGTTTCCATGTGACCATACAACTGACCACAGAAGGCATCCAACTCACCAGCAAACCTACCTCCAGTCTGCATATGAAGAGCCGCATGGAATATTCTACCAACGATAGTCAGCAGATGACTGTCATCAGTTTAACCTTTATGAACCCTGAGTCATGTGACACTCTGATTGTTAGTTGTGGTTGCCATGGATATAGTTCTATGGAGATTTGGCAACTTGTAGAACAGCATACAACTCTTCACCAACTTTGTCAGTCTGGCCAAGGGATTGATAATGGATTCAAAATTCACAAATGGATGCATCACTCCACCATTCAGCATACATCATACCTGTCCTGCATAGCAACATCAAACCTTCCTGTCAAACATGTAATGGAGACAGGGTTTTCACCATACATAGCCGCAGCTTATAAAGATGGGTCCATCAAACTCATTCATCGCCATAATCACCAAGTGCTACACACTTCGACTGATGTATTACGTATGCATGCAGTCAGCAGCTCTCCAGCAAAGAAGTCCAAAAAATCTGTCAATATTACAAATCTTGTACAGACATTTTGTGGGTGTGGCCTTGTTGCAGTGCATGATGGGAAAGTGTCAGTTCTGAAAGTTTACAATGTTAAAGATGGTGCTATTTCTCTGTCTGCTCTCTTGGTCTGCCTATTATTTGAGTATGCCTTGGTCACTGGCAATGATTGGTGGGGAATTCTGCTGGCAGTCAAGCCAGGTAAGTAACTAAAATTTATCTTGGTACATGTGGTAAAGCACTTATTTTTATAAAAAAAAAACTGTTGACTAAACTGAACTACCGGTATACATATTATAAACCTGCTTTATATTAAAAAAGGTATATGTTGGTCTACTATGCCTGTATACCGAGTTGTTTCAGTGCTATTTTCCTAGCTGTGTATATGTTATTGTTAACAGACACTTTATTTGAAGCATTCATTTTATTCCAGGAAATATTGAAGCAATTTGCCAGAAGCTGATTGACAATTTCTTTAAGCAGTCTTCTGCCATGCAGGAGGCTGTTGCCATGCGACTCCAGGCCCTCAAGGTGGCGCTGTACAGTACAAACTTCTCCAGTCGAGAGAAAGCCTCAGACTGTCATACTAGGCTAGTGTTACAGGCCATCAACGCTCTGTTCAGGGGACTTCTGAGACCAAAGGTTATTACTTCACAGGATAAGGTGAGTTCATTATCTAATGTGGTTCATAAATAAATGATTGTGTAATATACAGTGGAATTTTAGCACAGGACTCATGTTTTTTTCCTGAATTTGTAGTACGATGGTTTCATATTGATTTTAATTTGCTGGTTAAATACACCCCCCCCCCCAGGTAATATGTAGTGGTATTCCATTTTGGGATCTTGATGGGAATTATTCACTGTTTTAATGAACAGTCTGACAAGTTTTTCTGTACTCAATAAATCTAGCAATGATAAGATAATTACAAAAAAATTAAAAGAAAATTGTATGTCACTTGTTGTTGTGAGGGATGCTTTGCTTGGCTTTACTTATAATCTTTTCTACATGTATATTAAGCTTATTTCTTTTAGACAGTCCTTGAGAGAATTTCAGTACTCAATCAAATGACTGATATTTTACTTCTTGTAGAGTCCTGGAGAGAAGCTGAGTGCCCTCTGTGTGAAGTCCACTGATGGTGACCTTGACAAGGTTCTGTATGGCCTTGACAAGGACGAGTTTCAGGTGGACACAAAACGAAGGGATAAAGCCGGAGATGGTAAGAATTGAACTCTGACCTTATGATCATATAAACTTTTTGCAATCTTTGTGAATTGTCCTTCAAAAACTATTTCTATTTTGTATATTGTAAAATCACATATTTTCGTGGGGTCAAATTTTTGTGATTTGAGAAAAATCTCTTGGTTCGTGGGGATTTGATTTTGTGGATGAAGAATTACTGAGTACTTATGCATGTAACATTTTACATTTCGCAGTGGACATGAATTCGTGGGTCTCTTCATTTTTGATGTGACATGATTTTGTGTGGTAAAGGTTTAAATTTAGTAATACATGTTTATGTTTCCTACAGGCAATAATGTTACATTTCTTCTTTATAAATTTCATTTTCTTTGTCTTTTTCAGTAGTGATGATGCAGTCATTAAAACCACTCATCCAGTGGATTGCAGATTTCTGTCTACACCTGCTAGCCTCCATACCTCTCTATCAATCCTACCCTACCTTCCCTGGCTCCTCTCTACTGAGTGACAGCTCCCTTCTGAGGACGCTGCGAGAACTTCTGGTCATCATTCGGATCTGGAGCACCACATCACCCAGTGTGGCACCTGTGTTCACCACCACGTCAAATGTGGACTGCTTAGCTCACCTGTATAAAGTCCTCACCAAGGCTTGGTTATGTTGCAAGGATGGCACAAAGCTGGACTTTGATGAAACTCTGCTTGATGAGTGCTGTGTTCTTCCCAGTAAGCTGTTAGTGCCTGCTATGAACCAGAGCTTTAGGCTTTACAGCTCTGGGTATACTGTTTTTGGACAGTCGTTTCCTGTCAGCTTTGTCTGGGGTGAATTTCCGGAATATCTTTACAGTCAGAAGAAATCTAAGTTGATGTATGTGTCTGATGTATTGACTGAAAATCAGCAACATCATGACATCATCAGGCAGATTCACCTCGGGGTGAACTTGTCCGAGAATGTCCGTCAGTGCTGCCGCTGTGGAGGGTTCTCACTGCTTACAAGTGTTACCAAGTCCTCCATTATGAAAGCCTGGGAAAAAAGATGGCAGAGACATTGTCTGTGTGCAGCTCACTGGAAGCTAGCATAAAGTAGATGGGGTTCTTTTTACAGTATACTCAATATCATCCAAAGTATAACTATTACTTTCCCCTCCGGCTGATTTCTATATCTTGACCATATCAAAAAGCAAAGGGAATTTCAAATACTCATGTACATACACATCTAACTGCATACATGTATGGTGTTCCGATAAGGCCATTTACAAAAGCGTAATAGGACGCGTTAGGAATAATGCGCTTTCGCAAAGTGACAACGGGATAGCGCAGGTGCGTTGTTACTAATGCATCATTGCGTTTTTTATATTGACAACGCGCTAGGGCGCTAGCACATTTGTAAGCCGGCCATCAACAGTCTGATTAAAATCAAACCTTTACTGGCTCCTTTTTATTTTGATTGTCGCGTGACAATCAAAAGAAGAAGTGGCTAGTGGAGGTTTGATTTTAATCACACACTTGGCCAACAGTCGCCCGTTCATCGTTCCCTAAACAAAGGCTTGATTTTCACCGTCGGCCGACATTTTACGAAAACCCATTTTCTAAATGTCGACCGACCGACTTAACGAACTGTCTGATCGAATGTTGGTCGCCGAACCGATACACGACTGCTTCAATTGAAAGAATCGGCCACCTACGCAGAAAAATTATAATCTGGCCTGACAAACACTTAATTAATTGGTCGGTCGACGAGAAAAAAAATCAAAATTTGGCAGGCAACGGCCGTTGGACAGCTGACTGTCTCTAGAACTAGAAGGATCCTATTTTTGCCTGAAAAACCGTCGGCCGTTGATCGTTCTTGAAAATGTGTTTGGGGTTTAAGCGTGACGGGACGGCATGTTGTGTGTTAGATGCCGTTTATGGCATACTGTGTCAAATATGAACACCATATCCTTTGTCATTCAGAAGTTATCACCAATGTTGATTTTTTAAAATTTAGGTCAATTGTGAAGGTCAAAGGGTCAGAAATCAAAGTATGCTCGGAAATATCTTGTCACAGGTACATGTAATGAACATGATGATTCAAAGCACTATCTCTTCCCAATCAAAAGCTATAAGGAAAAAATAACATTTTTGAAATGTAGGTCAAACTTCAAGGTCATGAGATAAAAAATTATAGTATTAGAAAGGTCTTGTCACATGCAGTACTCAAGTACAGGTTTAATATGAAAGCCACATCTCTTCTCATCCAAAAGTCGTGGCCAGTTTGGTTGAAGATTCTGAAAAGTAGGTCAAGATCACGAGGTCAAAAATCATAGCGAATTAAGAAAGGTCTTGTCACATGTATTACAAATATTTAATATGAAAGCTTAATCTCTTTTCATCCAAAAGTTATGACCAATTTCAAGTAATTTTTAAATTTTTCAAAAGTGGGTCAAACTTAAAGGTCACGGGGTAAAAAAAATCATTATGATAGTGTATTTTTGCCTACAATCAAGTTTAAACGGAAATATCTTATCACTCTTATAAAAGTTACAATACATTTACTTGGTGCACTGGATATGTGCCAGGAACTGTTTCAACAATCAACATACATATCATTTTTAAGATTTCCTCGTAAACTTGGCTATATATTTACATCCACTGAATATTTCCTCCTTTATTTCTTAAGAAAACCCATTGCGTTAATCAGTGCATGAACTACACTAGGCATGTCACCTGTACAGATTTCTTGATCAGTGGCTGTTCCATCAATGAAACGTACAAAGACATTCGAATAATTAATCCAATAATTAATCTTTTTAATCCTACTTTAAATGATTATTTAAACAGATACAAATATAAACAATAAAATGTCTTTCTTTGGTTGTTAGTACGGGATGAATGTCGCAGCTATTGCAGAAAATTTAACATAACCCGCTTACGCGGGTTATGTATTTTTCCTGCAACAGCTGCGACATTCATTCCCGTACTAACAACCAAAGAAAGCATTTTATTGTTTGAATATGAATTCACGAGAAAAACTAGTACTGTTTAAACTTTATATTCGAAGGATATCTCCATGATTACTTCACAAACAGGCTCTCAGTTGCGCACATGTGCATAATTGTAATGAAGTATTTGTTCATAATTTTAATATATGTAAGAATTTTTTAAGTTTCATTGAAGTTTTGTATGTATTCGATCGTTGACTTTTAAAGCATGACATTTCATATCAATATCACAACATAGATTCGCGTTTTCGAGGAGGGGTCTGCGTTTACTGGGAGTTGGGAGGAGTTGGTTCCGATTTGCTTTGTTTAGTTTATACATTTTAAAATCGGCTGCATTTCATTTCCGGAATTTTTGGAAATTTTGATATCAACTTTTCATTTCCGACAATTTTTTTGTTTTCATTTCCGACATTTTTCAAATACATATGTAGTACCTATATAGTAAGTAACATATCTGATAACTTTACTTATGAAAAATTTAAAGGAATAAATCATAAATAAATCATCGAAATCCAGTTTTGTAAATCTGTCAGTGACTTGAACATAAGTATAGTGCTGTCACTGACATTTTAATTAAGTGTACATTTAAATGTGGTGAAAATGTGTTATGCTCATTGAACTCTTTTACCTAGACTTAATGCTAAATGTATGCATTTAAGGAATAACTGTCTCATTTTTTGATTTCATGATGTGATCAATCGATTGCCTTGCGTGATAATTTGCATAAACGCCGAAGGCGTTTATGCATAAAATTATCACGCAAGCAAATCGATTGATCATCGTTATTCCTCATATTTACATGGTATTGATTCCGCCAATCCAGGTGCTAGAAGCTCTATTTGTCCCGCCCTGCACGTGATTTTTTTTTTTTACCGCGCCTATCCATGAACCAGTACATTGATGGATAAATAAAGTACATTGACTATTTGTAATTTTATCTCGATTAATTTGCCGCACAGGTAAATTCCAGAAATGAAAAAAATTATGTCGGAAATGAAAATCCAAAATGTCGGAAATGAAATTAAAAAAATGTAGGAAATGCTATGCAGCGTTAAAATCACTCTGCAAATTCCAAGTGGGGGGACCCGATCCCCCTTTAGATCCGTGCATGCAATTTAAAAATATCCATATAATAATGGACATATCTTGGTATGATCTTTTTTTATATACTAATAAATCTCCTGTGAGACATGTATCTTGCACAACAGCATTAAAATATCGATAAACTACGATACAATGTGAGAAATCAAGGGGACATTTAGTTATTAATAAATGAAAATTAAATACATTTACAGTGTTCCGTACATGTCCAATAGAGTTCAGTACAACGGGACAGAAAAACGAAAGTAGATCAAAGTTTAAAAAAAAATTTATGTGGAAAAGAACTGGAATAAAATAAGACAAATCTTGGACACTGGAACTCGATGTTATTAATTTTGCTCGTCTAGATCTACGAAAGAAATCAGTGAAGTAAGTCATAATGTAACATACATGTAATACCTTTAAGTTGCTCTAACCAGGCAAGGTTACGAAAGTAGAAATTATATTAGACAATTGGATTGAAGAACTATAATGAATAGATAGTTATCTAAGATTCTAGTCATAATGTATAACCGAGTTTCTATTTTTTGAACGGACTATTGAAAAGATTTGCTATGAAATTTGCTATGGAGAACTGATCGGGCGATAACATTGTGCTGCGCATGAAATATTTACGTGGCCTATGAATTTGTATATGAAAAAAAAGACGATTACGTGTATAAGAAAAACCTATTTAACTGCGATTTTGAATACTGTAACTTTTAAGTATTTTAAAAATTTTCGTTTTTGCATCTTTTTTATTTATGAATTAAACCGGGAAATTAATTTTGAAAATATATTAGAAATTTTAAAACAATTTGAAAAAAAAAATAATATGGTTACTGAAATGTTATCAGATTTATACATTTAGGAACATTTTTTACCAAATAATATTCAGATACCAGCATGGCTAGCGGTCTAGAGGAGAAAGTGTCTGTCAGTGGACTGGAAGAAAGGGTATCCAGAATGGCAGTCCATGGCGGAATAGAGGAAGTCAAGAAAGGCAGCCAGCGAGATAGTAGAGTAGTCATTGCAGCCATAGATTTTGGAACAACATATTCGGGCTATGCTTATGCCTTTAAAAGTGACCTCGATAAGGCCAAAGATACCAAAGAAATGTGCAACATTTTATCGAAGACATGGCAAAGCGGAAGTGACGCAGGACTTATATCTCACAAAACTCCGACTTGTCTTCTGCTAAATTCAGAAGGAAAATTTGACTCGTTTGGGTTTCAAGCAGAGGAGAAGTACAATAACCTTACCAATGATAATGCTCATGTTGGATGGCGTTTTTTCAGGAGATTCAAAATGATTCTTTTGAATGAAAAGGTAAATTTTCCTAAACAATAATATCACAGGCACGATGATGCGATGACGCGACAATGCAATGACGAAGAAGCGATACCACAATGGTGTGATAGCGATAACGCATTGTCATGCAATCATATCGCACCGTTGAGTCATCGGCATCGCGCCATCGTTTCGTTGTCATCGCGCCTCATTAGTGGGGCTTGATGGTGTGATAGTGAACTTTGTGGCTCTATCGGGGAAACATAGAAAACTTTATCAAATTACTTTGTTCCATTTTCAGCACCTTAGCAAAGAGACTGTGATACCCGATGATCAGAACAACAATATGGAAGCTGTAGCTGTTTTTGCTCATAGCATAAAATACATAAAAAACGAACTGTGGAATCAGCTGCAAAAGACAGGATGCAGCATTGATGCCAAAGAGATCCATTGGGTTCTAACAATACCAGCAATATGGAACCCACGGTCCAAGCAATTCATGAGATTGGCTGCAGAGCAGGTATAGGCCTACGTAGCAAAACATTTATTTTCGCTCTCGGCAAAGCCTTGGGGAAAAGTTGTTTTTACTGTGGGGGTAAAAAAAACTTGCTTTTTTCCTTATAGCCAGTGAATATACTTAGTATTAGGTAGATAAAACTTTATCTTACCCTTTCTATAGCTACATGTAATTCTTTCAGAATGTAATTTGGAAATAACATTTTTTCTAGCCGTGAGCTCACAAATCATATCCTCACTCCCAGATTAGTATATAATGACAAATTCAAATTTTCGATGTATGTGAAAAGATCTAATGTTATTCCGTAGCAAAAGCACAATGGCGATATGTGTATCTGTGAAAGTCTCATTCAATATAATCAGTGTTATAGGAGAAATACTTATAAGAGATGGATATATACCCAAAGGATAAAGGACGGACACTTTACTTCCCTTTTTCTTAGCGGGCGAAGTATATTTTTAAAAATCAAACGAGATTTTGATTGCGTCATAATTTGGTTTTCTGGACATTTCTTGACCCTTGTCCATTCTAACATATATATATGTTCTATTGCACTAGGCTGGAATACCCGGGAACCAGCTTGAGTTTGCCTTAGAACCGGAGGCTGCTGCTGTTTACGTCAAAGAGACCAAGGTGGCCAAAGAATCTGTGTCCGCTGATGAACACCAACTAGTTCCATTTAAACCTGGGACACAGTTTATGGTGCTGGATCTCGGAGGTATGTTTTATAATTGTATTTACGATAAAGAATTCAATTGAATACACGAATTGAACAAATTTAAGAAATTATAAATTTTGATTTAGTTGCTACATGTGCTTTTCTTATTGGTGAAAAAGTGTGTTAAATATGGCCATGAAACTTTGACTTTTAGGTGGTACCATTGATATCAGCGTGAAGGAGGTTCTGAAAGACAGAACATTGAAAGAATTGCACCGGGCGTCTGGAAACGGATTGGGAGGCGAATCGGTTAATATCAGATTCTTAGAATTTTTTGAGAGTGTATTTGGAAAAGATTCCTGGTCGAAATTTAAAAACGAAAATGAGTACAAAGCAGCATTCTATGACTTAGAAAATGAAATAGAGCAAAAGAAACGGACTCTTCCATTTGACAACAAGGGGAACTTGAAAATAAATATACCACCAGATCTGGTTGAAATCTTTGACCAGAATGATAATAATTTTGAGGAACATGTCGAAAGTTTGGAAGGACTGCGCTATAAGTCAGGAAGGTTGTACATTGACAAAAAAATAGTAATGGGTGTTTTTCAACCCTCTGTCACAAGTATCATTAAGTTAGTACGTGAAATTTTAAATGATAGTAATGTAGGCCATGTGAGCGATATTATGATGGTAGGCGGATTTTCACAAAGTCCATTTGTCTCCAAAGCTATTAAGGATGCATTTGCAGATAAAAATGTCATCGTTCCAAACGTGGCAGACATGGCTGTACTACAAGGAGCTGTTATTTATCGCCATTGGCCGGAAGTAGTGCGCACGCGCAGATCACCATTCACATATGGATCTCGTTTAATGCGATTATGGCTTGACGGCGATGACGTCAGTAAAAAGATAAAACGAGGCAACGAAGTACTGTGTGGGGACCATTTTGAAAAGTTTGTTACCATCAACGACGAATTTAAAGTGAATGAACGAGCAACAATTAGTGTTTTTCCTGTGGCAGCCGATACAACTGAAATGGCGGTTGATATTTACACATCAACAGAGAAAAATCCGCGGTATACCACCGACCAGGGTTGTGAAAGGCTTGGGCGTTTAGTGGTACAAATGGCCGACACGACAGGTGGGCTCAATCGACAGGCGGACGTTACCATGACAATGGGGAGCACTGAAATTACTGTAGAGGGCAAAATGATGCCGAAAGGAAAACCAACTAAAGTTACTTTTGATATGCTTAGTTCAAAGTAATTTTTTTGCCGAAGTGTCTAAAACATTGAAATTATTGTAGGTTAAAAGACCCCAAAATATGATTATATGATTTATACTATAATATTAACCGTTTTCATTTTACATTATTAACAGTGAAATGCTGTAATTTCAGTATCCAAAGAAGAAAAGTGAAATTTATACATGCAGTGTGAAAGAATATCAGAGTGGTATTTTTCACATTTTCGTACCAAACACAAAGCACTGAATACATGACTTTGTGTTATTATCAAGTTTATCTTGTGTATTATCAGATAGTTATTGATAAGTTTTAAATGTTTTTAGGCTTTCAAGTTTAAAATTTTAATGTAATATATACAAAAGTCATGTATTCTTTGTGTATAATTTAGAATATTATTTACTGGATGTCAAAATGATTCATTGTTCCATTCAAGTTTTCATCAATACAAATCTTTGTTTAGCACTCCAAAATCAGAAAATTACTCTTAAAATTAAACAAATTTTATTTATTTTCTCTTTCATTTAAATTAGACTCGTTTTCTACTATGTACACTGAACACAAGCCTTAATTGCTGTAATCTGACTTAATATTGCGAATACTTTTAATACCCCAATTTATTGCAAATCGGATTAAAGCGAACTTTGAGCATGCAGCCTGTGTTATATTTATTAGCATATAGTATACATTTCTTAGACAAAACATAACATATGATGCACATAGAACTGACTATACTGGCCTTAAGAGATTAGTTTTTTATTATTGTTTTATATACTGTATCTATAAAAAAATTAAAACGTTTTTTCCAAGTATCACCTTTAATAAAGTCCTGTGCCAAAATTATGTTGAATGCTTGAAAAATTATATATCAGCGTGGTCTGTTCTCCGTAGCTAGTATCTTCTGCTTGACCATTAAGGCATTTGACTGAGTACTAGAAGAGTTTATTATTCTTCTTACCAGCCCCATTAATTTGAAGAGACTACGTGCTAGTTATTGCTAAGGTCGGGCATGCATGAGCTAGACGTCCAAACAAGTTTTTCCTGATATAAAAAGTCATAAATATTTTTATTTTTTATTTTTAGGCGGTTACTTTGTAAATCAATTGTAATTTGATAAGGATTGGGGATTCAATCAACTTGAGATATACCTTCATTACCATGACCTCCAATGTTTGATCTGATACAATAGTCAATAAGTATTGTTATGCCATTATAAATATCCTTCTATATAATTATTTATTACCAATAAAAAGTCCAACAAAATAATAGTTTTTGTATTGGTCTTTACAATTTCATTTTTATTGCTGGCCCACAAGGTCACTGTAACATCACAAGTCGTAGTTTGTACAAAAGTAGCCGAAGTTAGAGATATAAGTAGGAGTAGTCGTACGTATTTGAATACGAGTACTAGTATATATCTATGGCGTCAAAGGATCGAAAGTTATTTTTGTGATAAAAAAAGATCTGTGATATAACGACTTCATGTTTTTGTTTAAAAATTGTTTTGTTATTGTATCATTTTTATAATTTTATTGATAAAGGCCAATTATAGCTATTAAGTACATTAAATAATTTTGACATTGTAATACGGTAGTTCTTTTTTAATATTGTTGATTTTTAGGTCACCTGAGTAACTCAGGTGACCTATTGCTATCCGTTTTCGTCCGTCGTCGTCCATTGTCCGTCGTCCGTCGTGTGTCGTGTGTTAACATTTGAGCATTTTCAGCTTCTTCTCTGAAACCACTGAACCAATTTCAACCAAATTTGGTATGCAGCATTTATGGGTAAAGGGGAACAAAAATTTTGAATTTTATGGTCCCCGGCCCCCTGGGGCCTGAGGGGTGGGGCCAAAACCACTATAATTAGTGCAATCTTTAACAAGAGGCCCATGGGCCTTATAGGTCACCTGAGCATCATGCAACAACTTTCAAATCATGTTTTAAGCTAGATGCTATGGCATTCACAATTTTGAAAGAGGCACCATTGCTAATCATAATTATACACTTAGCAATTGTTTAGTTTGTTTACTTAATATGGATAAGCAGGGTAGGGGAACAAAAAGTATGTCAACTAATTAGTAATATTCAGCAATAATCCTACCATACATGAACCCCTGACCCTAGGTCTACACACTGCACAATTTTTGAAAAGGCGCACTTGCTTATCAAAAATGTTTGATTAATACCAAGGAGCATATTTCAAACAATTCATTTTCAGGATATAAGTAGAGCCCCCCCCTCCCCATTTTGGTATCCCTGATCCAGAGGCCTTGAAATTCACAATTCTGGAAGAAGAGCCCATCCCATCATAACTATGTAAATAGTTCATTCTGCTTATTACCCAGGAGTAGAGAAAAAGATTTTCATAGATGTAATGTATTTTCACCATATAATCATTATAGAGCCAATTCCTAACACCATAACCCCTGACCCCGGGGACATAAAATTCACAATTTTGGTAGAAGCATTCTTGCTCATCATAACTATGTCCTTAATTAGATTATTTAATACCCAGAAGCAGAGAAGAAGATTTTCAAAGATTTAATGCATTTTCACTATATAATCAATAGAGCCCCGCCCTAACACCAGAACCCCTGACCCTGGGGCCATGAATTTCACAATTTTGGTAGAGGCACTCTTGCTCATCATAACTATATACTTGGTTAGTTTATTTAATGCTCAGGAACAGAGAAGAAGATTTTCAAAGATTTAATGCATTTTCTCTATATAATCAATAGAGCCCCGCCCTAACACCAGAACCCCTGACCCTGGGGCCATGAATTTCAAAAATTTGGTAGAGGCACTCTTGCTCATCATAACTATGTACTTAGTTAGTTTATTTAATACCTAGTAGCAGAGAAGAAGATTTTCAAAGATTTAATGCATTTTCACTATATAATCAATAGAGCTCCGCCCTAACACCATAACCCCTGACCCTGGAGCCATAAAATTCACAACTTTAGTAGAGGCACTCTTGCTCATCATAACTACGAACTTAATTAGTTTATTTAATACTCAGAAACAGAGAAGAAGATTTTCAAAGAAATAATGCATTTTCACTATATAATCAATAGAGCCCCGCCCTAACACCATAACCCCTGACCCTGGGGCCATAAAATTCACAATTTTGGTAGAGGCACTATTGCTCATCATAACTATGCACTTAGTTAGTTTATTTATTACCCAGGAGCAGAGAAGAAGATTTTCAAAGAATTCATGTATTTTCACTATATAATCAATAGAGCCCCACCCTAAAACCAGAATCCCTGACCCTGGGGCCATGAATTTCACAATTTTGGTAGAGGACTCAATGCTGATTACAATGATACCAACAGTTTGACTGCTTGATGTCCGGGAGTAAAGAAGAATATTTTTAAAGACTTCACTAATTTTAGTGGTTTTTGCCCCACCCCCCAGGCCCCAGGGGGGCAGGGACCACGAAATTCACAATTTTTGTTCCACTTCACCCATAGATGCTATATGCCAAAATTGGTTGAAATTGGTTCAGTGGTTTCAGAGAAGAAGCTGAAAATGTTTAAATGTTAACGCACGACGGACGACGGACGACAGACGACGGACGACGACGGACAAAAACAGATAGCAATAGGTCACCTGAGTTTACTCAGGTGACCTAAAAATCTTCTTCTTTACTCCTGGACATCAAGCAGGCAAACTGTTGGCATGAATGTAATGAGCATTGAGTCCTCTACCAAAATTGTGAAATTCATGGCCCCAGGATCAGGGATTCCAGGGCGGGGCTACATGTATATAGATTATATAGTGAAAATGCATTATTTCTTTGAAAATCTTCTTCTCTGCTTCTGGATATTAAATAAACTAACTAAGCACATCGTTATGGTGAGCAAGAGTGCCTATTCCATATTTGTGAATTTTATGGCCCCAGGGTCAGGGGTTCTGGTGTTAGGGCGGGGCTCTATTGATTATACATGTATAGTGAAAATGCATTTATTCTTTGAAAATCTTCTTCTCTGCTTCTGAGTATTAAATAAACTAACTAAGCACATAGTTATGCTGAGCAAGAGTGCCTCTTCCAGATTTGTGAATTTTATGGCCCCAGGGTTAGGGGTTCTGGTGTTAGGGTGGGGCTCTATTGATAATATAGTGAAAATGCATTAATTCTTTGAAAATATTCATCTCCGCTTCATGGGCATTAAACAAACTAACGAAGCACATAGTTATAATCGAAAAGAGTGCCTCTTCTAAAATTGTGAATTTTATGGCCCCAGGGTCAGGGGTTCTGGTGTTAGGGCGGGGTTCTATTGATTATATAGTGAAAATGCATTATTCTTGGAAAATCTTCTTCTCTGCTTCTGGGTATTAAATAAACAAACAAAGTACATAGTTATGATGAGCAAGAGTGCCTTCTATAAAATTGTGAATTTTATGGCCCCAGGGTCAGGGGTTCTGGTGTTAGGGCGGGGCTCTATTGATTACATAGTGAAAATGCATTAATTCTGCAAAATCTTCTTCTCTGCTTCTGGATATTAAATAAACTAACTAAGCACATCATTATGATGAGCAAGAGTGCCTCTTCTAAAATTGTGAATTTTATAGCCCCAGGGTCAGGGGTTCTGGTGTTAGGGCAGGGCTCTATTGATTATATAGTGAAAATGCATTATTCATTGAAAATCTTCTTCTCTGCTTCTGGGTATTAAATTAACTAAGTACATAGTAAAGATGAGCAAGAGTGCCTCTTCCAAAATTGTGAATTTTATGGCCCTAGGGTTAGGGGTTCTGGTGTTAGGGTGGGGCTCTATTGATTATATAGTAAAAATACATTAATTCTTTGAAAATATTTTCCTTTGCTTCTGGGTTTTATGCTAAAGATTCAAATATATATATATATATATATGATGAAGAAAGGTGCATCAAGCAAAGTGTTTTTTTTTTTTTTTGCCCTCTGGGTTAGAGGAGGGGGGGGGGCTACATAGTATGAAAATAAATTAATGCTTTTAAATCTGCTCTTTGGTATTAATCAACCATTTTGTTTTAAAATTTGCAAAATTTTGAAATATGTGGCCCCTGGGTCAGTGGTTCCCTTGGGGTGAGGTGCACAACTGGGTATAAAGTGGAAGTGCATTTTCTCTTTTTATTCTGATCTAGCTCTGGGTATTACGTAAATAGAGTAAGCATGCTAAGTTAATAATTATGATAAGCAATGGTGCCTCTTTCAAAATTGTGAATTGTGAATTTCATGGCCTCTGGTTTAAATCAAATTCAATTGTTTGAAAGTTGTTACACAATACTCAGGTGACCTATAAGGCCCGTGGGCCTCTTGTTATTCAAAGGTTGTCATTATAGTTTTCTCTCTTGAGTTAAAAGGTCATGACAGAACAGCTTTAGACTTGGATTCAGGCGACATTTGCTTTGTTGGATTAGCTGGAGATGAAAATGTTGTCCTTGGCAATTTTACTCCAGAAATCCCTATAATGTGGTCTTTTGTTATGGAGACATCATCGTATGTGGAGACTCAAGTGTCTAACCTATGTCAATCAAACTAACAAAATTGTGTCAGAATGAAAATTTCCAAAAATATATATATTCAATCAATAAACAAACAGAATTTGTTCATACAAATTTATTTTTCAGAAGTGAGAATCAGGTCAATTTTGTCTAGTATTTTATCAATAATTTTACTTTATTTGCATAAGATTATACCGGTACATGAAGCCCTCAAACAATTCTTCTCCGAATTTTTCATTGAACACGGAGAAAATAAACTCGAGCTTTAATTTTAGTCCGTCTTTTTTAACCGCCGCTTTGTCAACAGTACATATTCTATACGTAATGTTGTCCTCTGGTGACGTCACTTCCTCCGTCTGTGTGAAGTAGTCGGATGTAAAAATCCAATTATCTCCAACTTTCTTCGTCATATCCAGAAAACAATATGGAACGCTCTCGCAATTTTTTATCATTATCTTGTATATTACTTTCCCCGCGGAATCTTGCTTTTGTTGTACTCCGAACTGACACGAGTTTCCATTAAATTTGGTTTGACTTTTTTGGGACGAGATTTCGTTCATTTGGAACGAGAGTTCATCGTTGCCAGCGGAGAGCCAGATTTTAGGTATACTGTATCCCGGTACTGACATGCTGTTGTTCAGTGTGGCTTCAAACCGCGATACCCCTTCTACGGGCCCCTCAGATACTACAAACAAACAGATATAAATATGGTATAAAGTTAAAAATAAATAGATAAGACACATAGATGTGACTACTATTCATAAATTAGAAGGACTTTTCAATAGAGCTCTACGTATTTCTAGAAATACATGTAATTTGTGGTCAAATATCTGAACATGATTCGTGCAAGAAAGTTTCTTTACCAACCATTATTGTCTTCCCTATTTTGTCTTTTCCCAGCCCCTTTACATGTATATGTCTTGTCTTTGTGCACTCTAATTCAAAGTATTTCGTTTCATAGACTTTATCTGAACGGGTGTCTTTTCATTAATTGTCATTGAAGTAAGACCATGTAACATTGTGGCAAGATATATAGAAACTGTGCAGCTTAAACCATTTTCTCATTTCTATCCATACAGTCAATTAAACAATTAATGGACAATATATATGACAGGAACGTCTTTGAAAACATTCGATTGAAATGTTCTATCTACTGTATACAGGGTGATTTTCGCCCCGTGTTATTTTCGCCCTTTTGCACTTGCAAAGTTTTGCCCCGTTTTAAATTCGTCAAATCATAGTTCTGTTTAAGAAATTATGCTGTGTAATTTCAATTCGCTCCGTCTTAAATTCGCCCATTCAAGAAGAGGGCGAAAGGGGCGAAAATTTCCCGGTATACAGTAGTTCGAAATTCATCTCCAATTCACCGGATCTATTTTATAAAGACAAATTATTTATGTTTGACCCAAAGGACTATTTTTGTAGTTAAAATGTAAAATATAATTTTCTATCCAATATTTTTAGTATAATTATTCATTTTATTTCATTTAACTCATGATCCCCCTCTTTCATACACTTACATTTGCGCCAAGTCACTCTGTCGTCAGTTCCAACAGGAGAGGCGTTATTTGGTGCCTGCATCAGGATACTAAAGAAGGCTTTCCTACCCCCATCTGGCAAACCCTTTATTGTTCGGGTGATTGAATCAAACTTGTACTCTATGTCTTTCAGGGGTCGGAGATCTGCCCATTCACCCTGTTAATGTCATATTTAAAAGGTTATATGTGTAAAATTATGACTTATTTCAAATATACATAATTTTCCTTTTACGAAAAAAATATGTCATCTGTCTATTCCCATTGAAAATACAATTATAAAATACATGTAGAAATGAAAAATTATACAACACAAAATATGAATATTTAATATACAGTTAGGTAAAGTGGATATGATGGAGTAGAAATGAACGACTAAGCACCAAAATTGTAAAATATTCAATATAAAGCAATTTGAATGGACAATACTAGTAACAGAAAGGAAGTGTGAACTTACGAAAAAATGAAATATTTAATATACAGTGATGTAAATATACACTTGTGGAATAAAAATAAAAGAAAGAGAGGATTATTATGCACATAATATGAAATATTCAAATTACAGTGAAGTGAATGGACAACTATAGCATATAGCATACATGTAGGCGTCAGATGCAAAGTGGTGGGAGGGATTAATCAACAAAATACATTCTAAAATGGGGGGGGGGGCTATAAGCGTATATTATGTCTATCTTGGGAAAAGGGGGCAGGGTTTACCCTATGCCTATGTATAGAGTAGAATTGTAAAATTATACAAGACAAAATGTTCAATATATAGTGATGTAAATGGAAAATTATAGGCCGGAAATTCAACAAGAGGCCCAGCTAGGGGCCACATCGCTCACCTGAGCAACTGGCTCGGTAAAAGCAAAAATTAGTTCAGTATTGAAAAGATTAAATGTATTATAAAAATGGGGAGGGGAGGGGGGTATTCAAACAAACTTAAAAGTAGTATAAACGGTCTAGATAGACGGGTCAACTGAGTGCACTTTTTATGCAAATGAGGTTCAAAATGGAGGATTCTGATTGGTGATGGGGATAAATGGGTCAACTGAGTACAGTGCTAACCCTAACCCCCTAGCCCCCTAACCCTAACCCTAACCCCTCTAACCCTAGCCCCCTAGCCCTAACCCTAACCCCCTAACCCTAGCCCCTAACCCTAACCCTAACCCTAACTATCCCTATCCCCCTTAGCCCTAACTAACCCTAACCCTAACCCCCTAACCCTAACCCCCTAACCCTAACTAACCCTAACCCCCTATCCCTATCCCTAACCCCCTTAGCCCTCTAACCCTATCCCCTAACCTATCCCCTAAATACGGAGTTGTTTACACTGTGTTTACATTGGTACGTTGGTACTACGTTTTGTTTATGCTAGCTGCACAGGTAAATGCGCCGTGTGCAAAACATTTCAAGAATGTGATTATGACGTCACGCTTCACAGGCTAGACAGCCTAACCAGTTCAAACTGGATTTTTACTGAAAACAATAACAACCTGGATTTTTACTGAAAACAATAACATATAATTTAATTTTATTTGTATTCTCGCCTCTCATTGGTTGATTACCAAAAAGGAACGCATAACATTTTGTATAATCTGGTTTGGTATGGGGACACACCCCCTTGACGACCAGCTTAATCATCATATCCATGCAATCCCCTCATTTCCAGTCCTCGGAATCCATGGAAAATTCCAGATTTAATAAATGTACCTTCAACTTTAATCAATTACTCGTTCTTACCTCATGTAAACAAACATCATGGCTGCTAGATCTATGAATCAGTCATTACCTCCCCTCGCTTCAAATCACTTCCGTTACTACGGTTGTATTATTGCGCGGTAAATTTGAACTTATAAAAAGCAACACAATTTTACATCAAAAGTTGTTTAATTATTTTAAAATTAAATTATAAGGAATGACTTTAATTCTTGGCCATATTATCGAGTATAATCTGGTTTGGGTCAGTTTACGCTTTTTTATAATCCGCTTCGCGGATTATAAAGCGTAAACTGACCCAAACCAGATTATACTCGATAATATGGCCAAGAATTAAAGTCATTCCTTAAATAACACACATGGTTTATATACCTTTACTGTAAGGGCCCTGTGCATCAATACGTTTTACCTACGTTTTCTTATATACCTGTTTGCATCCTCTATAAAGTGCCGTGTGCAAAACATTAGGGTCGTGTGCAAAAGAAATATACCTTTTACCTGTGTTTTCTTATATACCTGTTTGCATCCTCTATAAAGTGCCGTGTGCAAAAAGTACGATAAACTTACCTATGCATTGTGACGTCATTCACTGTATAAATACAATATGATTATGACGTCACACTTTTTCATTTACAGTCTAGACAGCCTAGTCTAGCCAGCCTAACCGGTTTGAACTTATTTTTTTTTTACTGAAAGACAATAACAAATAACACACAATACAAAAAACATGTGTGTGTTATGTCTGTCAAGTTATAACACCAGGTCACTTTTTTAAAAAACTTAGAATTTCTTTTTAAATTTTTTAAACTTTTTTTTTTAAAAACTTATAAATTTTTTTTTAAACTTTTTTAAAATAACTTTAAATTGTTTTTTCTTATTAATTTTTTTTGGTAAACTCCCCTTATAGTTTTTAAGAAATAAAATAAAAAAAAAATCATGTAATACTACATCAGTGTTATGTTATTGTATGACTTCATCTTTTATACAGTCGGGTTCGGGGTTTCGGGCGGCCATGGCCAATTTTCGGCAGGATTTTACCCCAGTGAAAAAGGCTTGTAATCCACAGTGTAGGTCGTTTAAAGTTGTTTCACATTGTTTATGATTGTGATTATGTTATCGCTCACCTATATGTTTAATGTCAGCTATGCTAAATAATCCATTTCTGTGTAATTTGAGAGAATGTTTTGACATGTGGTTAAAGTATGGCGTGCTATTCATGTTATCATTTAAAGTCGATCCTAAATAAATCGGCAGTGTCTATATGCACGACCGTCGTGCACTTACCTTTTCAACGGTTATTCGCACGACCGTCGTGTACATAATTTTTCAGTGGCTGTTTGCACGACCGTCGTGTATATTAATTTTTCAGTGACTATTTGCACGACCATCGTGTTTTTTGTTATAATATTTATCAGCTGGTCGCACGACCATTATATATATTTATTCATACCTTCACTTATTATGGCATTCGTTTTTCGTCCCCAGTTAAGTTCGGAACGCAGTAATTAAAGTACAAAAAGACATTTTGGCAAGAAAACATCGCAAAAACTTTTTTTCGTGATATTAATTTATATAATTAATTGACATTTGGGTCCAATGGGCAGGTCGTTGTATTGTAAATTTGTTTCTATTAGAACTACCCTTGTATTTGTATTTAATTAATAAAATAGTTGCTTACCAGGCGCGGATCCAGGAATTGAAGTTAGAGGGGGCTCCAAAAGTAGGCAAGGGGTCTGGGGGCCGCCTTGAGGCCCCCAGTGTGTCCAGGGCAAAGACCTGGTGGGGGCCCAGGTGGCGAAGCCCCCGGAAGCTCCTGGATTCTAGAGATTTTGTAGGGTAAAAATGAGGTCTACCAAGTATACATATTTACATTTTCTAGACGAAACTGTGATTTACGTAAATTTTGACAATTTTAGGGGCGCGCGCCGGGTGCGCCCCCCTTAAATCTGCCACTGCTTACTATTTTGGTAGGTCTGGGTTTACCCTATCCACCAGAGCAAGGACGCATTTATAAGCATTTCGCCTACTTTAGTATTGATTTCTTAATACACTTTTTAACCAAAAAAAAATTGTCATAAAACCTTACTTACCTTAGTTTTATAGTGTTATACACATGAAATTTCAAATTAAACAATAATCATGATAATGATATTTAAATGTTAATATAGTTCCCTAAATACACTATTTATTAATAAAAATCACCAAGTTTATGTAGGGAGTATGTAGTAAATATTGACGTGTGTATCTAAACGATGATAAACTGTTGATATTTAAGACCACTGGTGCTTAGACCGCGGTTACCATGGTTACGATCCGTTATTTTTTGGAAGTGCATATTATTAAGTCATGAAGTTGAGCAGGCATACAACATATATTTATATTGAGTTAATAATTTTTTTTAAAGTGATATATTTAAATATAACGTGAGATGTTTCGCGCTGAAATCGGCATGAATAGTGCGGGCGCGAACCATCTTAGTGCGAAACAGAATCAGCCCAAAAAATCCCGGATTCGTGTACATATATTTATCCCGCTTCAGACAAATTTGTCGATTACTGATTGGATAAAAGTAGCTGCAGATCTGTAGCTCTCCGAAAAAATATATTGATAGACCGGAGAGCTACAGTGCCACCCATTGAAAAAAATGTATATTTATTGCGCACAAAAAAGTGCGCTGGGTTCTCGATTTATTTCTCCATGTTTCTAAAATGTAATCTCAAAATATTACTAACCGTGTGTTCCTAACATATTCTTTCTCTGTTTCCACAACCAAACATTCCTCATAATTGTTGTTAATAGTCCTCCTGACCGTGATATTGTAATCATCGAACATTTCGATTATTATACCGCCATTTTGGTTTCAAAGATAATACGGTCCAATACGCTTCGTTCAGATGTCAACTTCGAGAAAACTTGATTGAGGATAAAGGAATTTTTGGAAATCGTTCCTTTTTTTGCAATTGAGGTAAGAATTTGGAAGAATTATTCAAGAACCGAGCGCATTTTTGTGTGCGCAATAAATATACAGTTTTTTCAATGGGTGGCACTGTAGTCTCCGGTCTATCAATATATTTTTTTCGGAGAGCTACAGATCTGCAGCTAGGATAAAAGCTAATCACGTGACGCCCTGAAATTTTCCGTATTACGTCTCCATTTCCATATTACGTCTCCGTCGAGGTGTAATATGAAAACCGGGCACGCGATTCCGTTCGAAGCGTTGTTATTGTAAATAAAAATGGCGGCTAAGAAACGGTTAAACGTAGGTAGTTCAGTTAAATTTCTTGTTACCGTAACGATATTTTATGTTGATTGTTATTGGATAAAAACTAATATTTTCATAATATGCACAAATATTTTTTTTATATTGAAAAAGGTTTTCAGCGGGATAAATTCGTTACACAGTCAGTTAGTGACCTAATACGGATTCATACAGGGTGTGAAATGGAAATCCGTATTGGGACTCGGCTTCGCCTCGCCCAATACGGATTTCCATTTCACACCCTGTATGAATCCGTATTAGGTCACTAACTGACTGTGTAACTAATAGTATACAATAGCTATTATCGTCGTGTGCATATCTCTGGCAATGTGCGATTGCTATTTGCACGACGGTCGTGTAAATAGATTTTGTCTTACGTATGTGCACGACGGTCGTGTAAATAGATTTTTGTCTTACGTATGTGCACGACGGTCGTGTAAATATCTCAACAATTTGCATTAGCTATTCGCACGACGGTCGTGTAAGTAGACTTTATTCACTATGCGCACGACGGTCGTGTATATATCATCGGCCAAATAAATCTGTCTTAAAAAAAGGTTAATTATGTATCACTGAATTGTATGATTTTTTTCAGGATCAGCTGAGATGTTTTTCACTGGATTATTTAATTGATAGACTTATTGGGCATATATTTGGATATCTCTGGTAAGTTTGTCTTTGTTTTGTTTACATTTATGAAGGTCATCTTTGCATTTAATCATAATTATGTAAAGTTCTGTTTTGAATGTCAATACTGTATTTATCCTCATTTCATGTGATTTACACTTGTACATGTATAACCTGCATGTAACTCAGAGTGTATTTAATATTTCTATGATGGGTCATTCTATGATTGAATTTAAATCAGAAAAATGTTCTCTAAATTTTGGTAAAATACATGGTATCTTTTACATTTCTGTCCCTTTTGACTGTAAATTATTGCTTTACTTACATTGTAAAATGAGGTTAATTGTGTATCACTGAATTGTATGATTTTTTTCAGGATCAGCTGAGATGTTATTTCACTGGATTATTTAATTGATAGACTTATTGGGCATATATTTGGATATCTCTGGTAAGTTTGTCTTTGTTTTGTTTACATTTATGAAGGTCATCTTTGCATTTAAGGATGTACAACACACCTACCCCAAAAAATTCCTGTCGTTTAATTTTCGTTATTTTTGTATATTTAGTACATGACTATATCTACTGCATGTATGCATATTTTGGACAAAATCGTTCGAGTGGGTTTTGGACAGGAACTTCCAGAAAGTTACCCCCATTTAGTTGTTTATAAGGAGAGAAAATTTTTAATCAATGAACTACTTAAACCTTGATTTCCAAAAAAGCCAGGTTAGATATAACTGTCAAGTTTCATGGACTTATTCCTTTAACCATTTATCACAAAAACATAGTCATTTTTTGATATACATATCAACAAAACAAATTTAAAGACCTTAAACTGAAAAACTATGAATTATCTAAGCCTTGTAACTTGTGTATTTTTCAAATTCAAAATTTTTTTGTGAAAAAACCTGCCGTTTAATTTTTGTAAAAAACTTTCTTTAGGTAGCTGGTAGTAAAAATAATCTTCATAATTTTTTGTATAATTTTTGTACGACCAGTTTTGATTTAATGGCGGAAAATTACCCCCTCCCCCTTTCTCAATAAATCACGTTCCCACGCGTCTTTCAGACGGGGGTCGATCACTTTGTTATATGAATCTACAAATACACATTAAAAAAATTAAATTTGAATATTGCTTTTGCTTTAAAAATATATTAACTTACAAATTTAAAAGTTCTCATATGTAAAGCGTATTTAAATGTAGATTTTTAAGCAATTTTTAAATACCCCTATCACCCCCACCCCTTCCTTTTTTGCGTCGCATACCATTATCGTTTGACAGAACGTCGTTTACAGTGCAAATATACTGGTATTTCGTCAAGAATCCCGGAGGTATGCATTAGTTTTTAAATTCATGAATGCAGAATAAATATTGACTACTCTTTTTATTTGTATCAGGAAAAAATTACTGAAAGATTTTAGTGTTTAGTCCATATACGTATGCGTTATGCATTCCATATCACACGAAACCTGGATATGAATTCAAGTTTTGTTGAACTTGAATATGTTGATTTTTAATTTTATTTCTTTAATTTTATTCATTAAAAAATGGTGTATGTTCAACTCTCCTACGATATAAATGGAATAATTGTAGTTTCTTTCATGTCATTATTTCAAACGAGACAGTATGTGGCCGTGGGGATACATCGACATTTGCATTAGATGTACATGCACCCCTCATGATATTGTACGCATTTCTTTCAATGTCGTCGCTTCTAAAGTTAAAATGAAAATTCCGTATTCGTCCACATTAACTTCAAAATATTAAACATTAAACTCTTCATCTATTTCAATTTATATCAAATCGCACATTGATATTTTTAAAAATCTTATAGGCTACGTTTTGTTTTGATTCGAGGAAATGCGAACCGACATTGTTGACAGAAAGTCAAAGTTACGTTTTGCTGCAATAGGATACTCATAAATGCAGATAATTTCAGTACAAGTGAACAATTCTTTTCAATTCTATACTTACATTGTGTATCCTGGCGATATATGAGGTCTATAGTATTCAATTCTCGGATTTATCAGGTCTTGCTGTAAATGTATCTGATTCTGTGGAAAACCGTGAATAAAGGGAGGAAAATAAACATCTACATTTTCAGAGTTGTTCCTCTTTGATCAGTAAGGGTCTGAGAACAACATCGATTTTACATTGTAAAAAGTTTTTTGTTTATTAAATTGTTGTTTTATTTAATTAAAGAAGAAAAACAATATTTATATCGTGTATGCACAAATTGTAATGAAGACCATTAATCGGAATGTTATATCACCAATTGTACAAAATGAGAATTTCGGCAATGTAAAACAAAATTAATTTTCAGAATAAAAAAAATGCTGCGCTTTGATCAAACACACAATTTATTGTAGGCCTATATGAAATGAAATGAAATAAACATTAAGGAATGGTATTTTATGTCTTGCTTTTTACGGAGTTTAATCGGATTGATTAAACAAATTATACTTATTGATTGAGTATGGTACGCACAATCACAGCCAAGTCCCATATCCCAATTTTCTTTCATGATTGATATACATCGGGATCGTTTTACTCGTCGTTTTGACGCTTTATTTTTGACGTTAAATTTGACGTCACGTCAAACGTTCAATTGAAATCGCAAGAGTTATCTCCCCAAGTGTGTTGTACGTCTTTAATCATAATTATGTAAAGTTCTGTTTTGAATGTAAATGTACTGTATTTATCCTCATTTCATGTGATTTACAGTTGTATAACCTGCATGTAACTCAGAGTGCATTTAATATTTCTATGATGGATCATTCTATGATTGAATTTAAATCAGAAAAATATTCACTAAATTTTGGTAAAATACATGGTGTCTTTTACATTTCTGTCCCTTTTGTCTGTAAATTATTGCTTTACTTACATTGTAAAATGAGGTTAATTGTGTATCACTGAATTGTATGATTTTTTTCAGGATCAGCTGAGATGTTATTTCACTGGATTATTTAATGGATAGACTTATTGGGCATATAGTTTGATATCTCTGGTAACTTTGTCTTGTTTTTTAAATTGTTTACATTTTCCTATGAAGGTCATCTTTGCATTTAAGCATGATTATATGGTTTAATTTAATTACTGTGTAATACTTATGTGATCTGTTGTCTCTAACTTACATTCATATAAGCACACCCTTATTTTGTCTAAAATATATTAACACATGATTAAGGGATCTTCAGAATATTAATAAGTCCTTTTGTATAAATTATATGAT